TGTCCCCATCTCCCCCCTCTCGTCAATTTCGTTCTCTGTCTCCTTATCCTACATAATCCAACAACATCGAAAGAGCAAACATCTAGCGGATTTGTTGGATTCCATGGCAGAAAAAAACCTCTTTGAGAGCAGCGGGAACAGATGCACAACACATGTATATCAAGTCTATTTGCATGGGAAAAACAACACTTGATATATCAACCAATGCATGTTGATTCTCCAAATAGGATCTCGTCCCTTGTATTTCACCGGTCTTCCACCTAGTTTTTCAGGCTTTTCTCATTTGAAAGATCAAAACAAAGACATTATCGTATGCCAACATATTTTTTTATCCAGCAACAAGATTTGGTAACACCACCTCTATGGATTCTACTTGGATATGGAGATTTGTACTCATCATGGATCTTTGGAAAAATCTTCAAAAAATCCAACTGATGAACATAAACAAAGATCCTTCTATCGAGGGATCAAAACCGCTGAGAAAACTCTAGATCTAGGATGATAAAAGATTTTAATGATCGATTCTCACAAGTCAATGCTCCATGGCCTTTTCAAATCCAAAAGACGATTGCTTCCCAAGCGCAAGGCTTAACAACGGTTTCCAACTATCATGCAAGGCTCAAAGGGTTGTGGCAGGAACTCGCGTCTTATAATGCTTTGCCTTGTTGTTTTTGTGGCAGGATGGAGATAAATAACCAGCAGAAAGACCAAGATCACACTTTATATACAAGCAGAAACCCATTTGCATCATAACAACAAGCCCATAGAATGCTGCAAATGGGTTTGCAAAATCAAGAACGATTCTAATGGCACTATAGAGCGCTGCAAAGCTTGCCTTTTTTCAAGATGACATTAGATGAAAAAGTGTATATGGATTCTCCTTCGTCACTTTGCGACGATTACGTATTACGTATGAATGAGAAAAAAAATTGATAAACTGATTAAATTAAAAAAATTAAAAAAATAATTGAAAAATTTGAATAAAAAAATTTAAATTAATTGATTAAAAAATCATAAATTTTTTTTTATTTGGTTTGATTCAATTTTCAAAGTCTGAAACTGATTAAATCGAATCAAATCAAATTGGTTCAACTAGCCCCCATTTAAAAAAATATATATATAAAAAAAAAGTTTTCCAATCCTAAACCTACATTCAACTGCCCCCTTCCCTTTCCTCTATACATTTCTCCTCTCTTATTTTTTTTTTCATGCTCAACTATTTTTTTTTTCATACTCAACTCCATAATTGTTACTTATTAATTGTTAAGCTCTTGCTCTATGTTTTTTCAGCTGCCCCCTCTCTTTATTTTTTATTTCTCATCTCTCAAATGATTTGAGCTAAATTTACCTTATTCTGTTCCACCATCTCTTAGATCTACATGTTCTTGGCTTAATTGTTGTGGCTTTGTGGTGCTTGACAGTTTTCATATGTTCATCTCTCAGATCATACTTTTATTTAATTCTTTCCCTGTAGCGATTTTTTATAATTGTTTTTGGAAATACTTCTAGTTGAATCTAGTAATAATGAACTTAATCTAATCTTTGGTGACCTCAATATGATAATATTTGGGTACATGCATGATGCTGGGAATTGCTTTCTATTTGTTTGCAATTGGTAAGCCTTGTAAGAGCATCTCCGTAAAACTGATTAAATCGAACCAAATCAAACTGGTTCAACTAGCCCCCATTTAAAAAAATATATATATAAAAAAAAAGTTTTCCAATCCTAAACCTACATTCAACTGCCCCCTTCCCTTTCCTCTATACATTTCTCCTCTCTTATTTTTTTTTTCATGCTCAACTCCATGCCTCTCTTATTTTTTTTTTCATGCTCAACTATTTTTTTTTTCATACTCAACTCCATAATTGTTACTTATTAATTGTTAAGCTCTTGCTCTATGTTTTTTCAGCTGCCCCCTCTCTTTATTTTTTATCTCTCATCTCTCAAATGATTTGAGCTAAATTTATCTTATTCTGTTCCACCATCTTTTAGATCTACATGTTCTTGGCTTAATTGTTGTGGCTTTGTGGTGCTTGACAGTTTTCATATGTTCATCTCTCAGATCATACTTTTATTTAATTCTTTCCCTGTAGTGATTTTTTATAATTGTTTTTGGAAATACTTCTAGTTGAATCTAGTAATAATGAACTTAATCTAATCTTTGGTGACCTTAATATGATAATATTTGGGTGCATGCATAATGCTGGAAATTGCTTTCTATTTGTTTGCAATTGATAAGCCTTGTAACATTCCCTAGAGAAGGAGTGGATTGAATCTTAAATTAGATTGAGCATTATAATTTTGGTTTGAACCGGTTTGAAAGGGAAAAAACCAAACCGAATCGAACTAAAATTAATTGGTTTGAACCGGTTTTCGGTTCGGTTCAAAAACTAAAAAAATAAAATTGTTTTGGTTATTTATTTTGGTCTAAAACCGGGCCGAACTAAAAATGCTCAGTCCTAGTATTTAGTTTTCTTAATTTGTCAAGCTATCCAAAAGGTCAGTTTTCAGCAAATCAAAAAAGATTATTCTCTTTCAACCAAAGTTCAAGGAAAGCTTTTTTATTTTTTTCACTTCATTATATATACATATTGATGATATGCTCACGAGAGACATGGAACTTTTCAAGGATTATTTTCTTAAACAATTCCATATCTTCAGTAATTTAAAATATTTTATAGGTATTGAAGTTTCATGTTGAAACATTGTATCTCTAAATCTAAAAAAATAAATATTCACTTATATTCTATAAAATGTAGGACTTATGAGAGCATGACTTGATAAAATTCCCTGTAGAGCAACATTTAAAGCTCACTTTTTATGATATTCTATCTTTTTGAAAACTTTTTTAATTCAAATAAACAATTGAATGTAGCAAGAAACCAAATATTATGCCATTGCTACAACATGTTTGGATCAAGACCAAACACAATTAAAGTATGAGACTTAGTATTCAAAAAATTATAAATAAAAAGTAGTATAGAAATAAGAGGCAAACTGATTCTAAAATGAGATTATTCATACAAAATTGTAAGAATAATCAATACCAACATCTATCATTTTCAAAACATGGAAGGAAAAAATCTTTTTAATACATTGTGTTCAGATTACTTGAATCTATATTATTAATAAGTAATATTTGTACGTGAATACTTTTTCAATAAATGAAAAGAGTAGTTATTTCTCTAAATACAATCATCATTACATTCTCTCTCTAAAATTACCTTTATATCTTTATTGGCTATAAACAATCTCCATAAATATCTATAAGTTTCTATGAAAAATATCTTTATAAAAAATCTTTATATCTTCATTCAATTTCCAATTACTAGGAAAAACTACTTATCATAAACAAAATACAATTTAAGTCATGGCAAAGAGCATGTTTGCCTTAGTATAACCCTATTCCGAACAAAAAACATCATTGATTCTCCAAGAATACATTAAGTATTATTTTTCTCAAGTAAATTAATGAATATAAACTTAGAGAAATTTCAAAATAACTAAAGAATAACTCCATTCGGGTACAAACAAAAACAATCCGTCAAAGTTTTATTTTTTAACTTATTTGTTTTCCATTTATATAGTTTTCTAGTTTATTTTTTTAAATAAAAAAATAAAAACAAAAAAGAGGCAAGTGAGACATGAAAATCTGACTAGAGAAATAAAGCTTTTTTAAAACTAAAACCATTATCAAAACAAGAATGATAAACTTTAGTTAAAGATCTATTTTTTAAAACACTAGAAATAAAAACACATAGGTGGCACATCGCTTGTCAAAATAGATGATGTGTTGTTTACAAGCTTAAATTTAGGGTATTCAATAGTGGTTGGAAAATTAAGACAATGTTTTTTGTCTAAAAAACCTAATTTGAAGACATTTAAACCTAAAAACACCTCTTCAACACTCTTGGAATATCCATAAACTAATATTTCAACTCAAAATACCTAAATAAGGATATAATAACACAAAATCAAATTGTGTTAGATTTATCTTTCTTGGCTTATATCTTTTTTTAGGAAATATTGAGGTTCTAACCAATCATCATCAAGCCCTTCTCATCTCATGGAATTTATGAAAAAAAATCCATTTTGATAGTTAGAAATAACTTGAACAACGATCTTTTTTTTTTTATTATTGAAATCCAGTAACCTCTCTCTTTTTTTTCTAACCAAATTGAAAAATACTTTAAGTAAACTTTAATACAAAACTAATTTTCTTAAATTCTAAAGGAACCTAAATTGTCTAATTTATATTATTTTTAAAGTTTGAAGATCTAGTTGTATTTTTAAATTTTTTTTTGACATGTCATTCATGTTTGAACTTTTTTTCATTATGATTCATTTCATTTTCATTACACCATTACCTAATAAATAAAAAAATAATTAGTTTTCAATTAGGATTAAACTCAAAATAAAACTTCGATAAACAAAATGAATTATTGAAAAATACAAAGTATATCTATATCCACAATTTATGTTTTGTGAGTGTGTAAATAATATCGACTCAACGGTATTTAGTCCACGCATTTTAGTTTTTCGAGTTAATTATTACTTAGACAAACACAAAATTGTAAGTTATCTTAGAGGTATTTGAGAATGAGTTTTAATATATTTTTTTATTAAAATTTAAAATTTATTTTTTTCAAATAATTTTTTTAATATTTTTGAATTATTTAATGTATTGATATTAAAAATAAATTTTAAAAAATAAAAAAAATATTATTTTAATATTTTTTAAAACTAATTTTTTTTTTAAAAACAAGTATTACCGTATCTTCGATCCGACACCAATTTTAACTTAAAAGGGCAATATAATCGATAAACATAGTATAGATATTTTGCGTCTCCGACCCTGAAAAATAGAAATCTTCAGTCAAAGCTAAGTGGCCTGCCACATATAAGAAAATACAACCCACTCGTAGAGGAACACGTGGAAACCCTGAATCCGGAGCCGCACCGTCACGCTTCTAATCCAACGGTGGAGAACTCTTCTCTCGCTTAATATAACCTTCCACCATTCACCTACATAAACCCCTCTTCCCAATATAGGGTTTTAGTCGAATCCTTCAAAAACCAGAGGGAGTGAAGCCAAACATAAGAAGGTAATCCCTGGTTATTTGTTTTCTTACTGTGACAGGACTTGTTTCTGATTGATTGAGACTGAAATATGCTGTTAACCTCATCTTTTGATCTGATTTGTGTTAAGAGTAAATGAGAAAAGAAAAGAAAAGAAAAGATTGTAACTTTCTAAGTTTTATCTTTTCATGTTTAGATGTATTGGATCTTCTTCGTATTTTCCTTTTCTCCGCGGTCTTAATCAGGATTGAAGGAGAGACCGAGACTGAAATTGTTTTGTTCGTATTGGTGTTACTGGACCTAGGTTTCTCTGGTTCAAATTAAGTACTTCTGAAGCAACTGATTTTTTACTGATATTTTTTAATTTAAAAAAATCTCTGGCTGATTTTGCTTTGTCGCTTCTTGCTGGGCAATCAATCATTCACAACATATGTAAAGCTTCTGTTCTCATTATTTCACGGGGTTAGTTTATTTTGGTTCCTGACTAAGGTTTTGTTTCGCTTAGGTTGTACGATGGCGTTTCTTACTAAATTGGGAAATATGTTACGGCAGACTGCTAACAGGCAGATCACTTCTGAGATCTCTGCATCAAGACCATCCATCTATCAAGCATTAAGATGCATGTCATCCTCAAAAATTTTCATTGGAGGTGCTTCTTTTCTTTTAATATTTTTTTCACTTCTTGTTTTGGTGACCTGCTGTTTAATGGCTGGTGCTGAAACCTATCACATCTCATTGCAGGTATTTCTTTCCAGACAGATGACAACGGTCTGAAAGAGGCCTTTGATAAATATGGCAATGTTGTTGAAGGTTTGTAATTTGTTTGCCAAATTACTTTTCCCAGTTTTAGAGGAAAAAACTGCCTGTGGGTGTGTGTACCCGTGTCTGTGCAGTTTGTGCTCGTGTGTTTATTTCCTTGGTTTCCTTCCTCACATGTGTGCTGGCATTTCAAATTTCAGTTTAGGTTTATTGCTGATTTGTTTTATTTTTGCTGCAGCAAGAATCATTATGGATCGTGATACTGGCAGGTCCAGAGGATTTGGATTCGTTACTTACACCTCCAGTGAGGAGGCCTCTAGTGCCATCCAGGCTATGGATGGACAGGTAATTTGCTACTTTATTGTTTGTCTTTTTTCTGTGGCTGGAAGTGGAGATGAGAAGTGCAGAACTATTTTAGCATTTCCTCTAAATTAATTTTCAACTGAGAGAAGTGCAGAATCTCTTACATTGTAATTTTTCTCTGATCATCAAATTCTCAATGCCTCTCACCCTGTCATTTAACTTAGTTGAGAGAGCTTACATTCTTCTCTTGTATCACCTCCCCCCTCATCTTAGTGTTCGTATCATTTTGTCTTGAATTTTGCTTCTCACAGGATCTTCATGGTCGCCGCGTTAGGGTGAATTATGCAACTGAAAGGCCTCAGCGTACCTTTAACAATAATTATGGCAACTATGGCGGTGGAGGATACGGCGGCGGTGGAGGATACAGCGGCAGTGGAGGATATGGAGGCGGTGGAGGATACGGCACTGGTGGAGGATATGGCTCTAATTATGCTGGTCAAAACACTTATGACGGTGGTGCTGGGAATTATGGTGCTGCTGCTGGCGGTGGCAGCAACGATGGCTTTACCAACACCAGTGTTGATGGTGGATATGATGGAAATGCTGGATTGGGTTATGGCGGTGGCAATCAGTTTGGTGCCAATGAGAGTAGTGGTGATGGTTTGAACCTAGATGATGCATTGGACAAAAAATCGAAGGAAGATGATGATGCTGGCGATTTTGCCAAAAGGGTATGACATAATGCTGTTTCTGGAAGAAGCTGTTGAAGTTGCTTATTAAAGTAAATTTTTTTTCCTCTTCCCTACCCTTCTTTGAACTTTGTTATATCACTTATTGCGGACTTGGTTATGTGAAGAGCATCTCTTTGAAGTATTTTCTTTAAGAAACAGAATTGATTAGAAAATAATTTCAGTTTCTCTCTCCGGCTGTTCATCATTATTCGGCAACTTCATAAGCAGTATTGGTGAGTGGTGACTGAAAAATTATGTCTGCTTCAAGTTGGTTCTGTTTGCTACTGGTTTTTCAGAGGGATGGGTAAAACTAATATTAGAGTAGGTATTGCTTGAAAGATATCGCTTTTTTTCTAATCATAGAGAATAATCACAAAAAAAAACCAAGGTCTTGTACATAACGTTTTTTAAATTTTAGTTTTGAAAAAACTAAAATAGCTTGATTTTTATTTATTTTGTATGTAAAAATCCATCCCAGAGTAGTTTTAGCGAATATAACTTTTTAAAATACCATCTCAAAATGATTTCTCAAACTTACTTTTTTTGAACTATAGCTATAAAAACTATTAAAATGCTAAACACGGTTTAAGAAAAGTAAGAAAATGTAGTTTTTTTTAATTAATGTTTCCAGAAAGAGTTTTCAGTGGGATTTATATAAAATTATGATATGTGCTGATTAATATATATATATATTAAAATTTGTGATTAGAAGAAAATATAAATCATAGCGTACTGCGCTAAAAAAATGGAGCCTAAAATTGTGGTATGGAGTCTAAAATTATGGAGAGCATGGAACACATTTCAGGTCTGTTTGGTAATATGGTAGTTTTTGTTTATTGTTTAACTGAAAATTTTTTTTTGGTTTGTCAATTGCCATGTAGTTTTTGTTTTTTTGTATTCTACTTCACATATAATTACATTTAAAATCTCAATTTTGTAAAAGCTAAAATAATTTTGAGAGGGTTTAAGGGCTTACGTTGTCTGTATCAACCTAGCTGGGCTGTTCAGCCCTTGCATGTTGTTGCTTTCGCTTTGTTGTTCCTAAATTTGATTGGTTCGCGCTGCTGCTGCTTATATTTTTAAAAAGTTTTTCCTGAGGATTGCTATATCATTTTCAGATCGTATTTCTTCAGATAGAGCTGGTTTTCTTTAGCTATGTTTGCTTTCTTTTGTGCATGTTTCATGTTTGATTCTACCTTCTTCCATTAACCAAGCCAATGGCCTTTTGAACCGAGCTGCTTTCCCACGGATATTTCTTGGTTTGTGCTGGGCTGCTAGCTTTTCTTATTTGGTTCCTTGGTGTTGGCATGAATGTTGTAGTGCTTAAAACAACAACAGCCTTTTAATCGCGCAAGCATGTTTTTGAATTTCAGTCCACCTTAGCTGTCTTGCTGTGCTTTTTGGTGGCACTTGATGCTTAAAATTCCATTTAAAAGACAGTATAATTGCGAATTATCACTCTTATTTCACCAGCCTTTATTGCTGTTTGCCTTCATTTGCTTTACACAATCCCCCCCCTGCTTTGATCTATACCTTGTTGTGTTTTTCTGTCCTTGGAATTTGATGTGTCAGGCTTCGGCATTGCCTTGCTGCCTTCTCAGTAATTTTTCAGACTTTTGGTGTCTGGCACTTTTCTTACCACTTTTATGGGTTTCTCATTCCTACAGCAGGCTGTTTTCTTTTATCCGCATGCTTTCCCAACGCGTAACTCAAAGCCACCATGCTTTTATATCGATGCCCATTGTCTCTAGCTTTTTCTTTTTCTTTTTACTGTTAGATCCCACAGGTGAGAAGTGATTTTCTTTAGTTTATCGATTACTTCTACTCTTCTCTACTTGTCTGTACAACTTTTAACCAAAATTCAACCATCGTAGCTCTTCAACTTCAAATGCATTTCGGGGGGAGCTGGACTTCTGATTGCTATCTGCAATTTCAAGGAGAAACTTCCTGCCAATCGCAGCCGATGTATCTTCTTGAACTTTCCAGCACCCTTCGACACGCCTCTTCTGTTAGCGTAGAGCTTTTAGGTCTAGATTGGCTTGGTATTTGTGATGTTTCTTCACTGTTTCTGTTCCGCATTGCATTTACTTGCTTCTCTCGGTAAAATATTAAAATAAATCGCCTTTACTTTTCACTCAGATTTGCTGGAGTTCGATCTTTGCTTTTGTTTGCATATGTATTTCTTGCCGTATGTTTCACAGGAATATTCGCCCAATTAGCCTCAGGAAACGAAGCAAATGCACTTTGTAATCATGCTATCTGTTATAATTTACTTTTGGGTTATTTTTTAATTATTTTTTTAAATAAAAAAATAAAATAAAGACTAATGTTTAGACAAAAGCTAGCTTAGAGGATTTTACATGTAGAAAGGATGAAGTTGTAATTTTAGATAGATGAAATTGAAAGTTTAATTGCATCCTATTTTATCCAAAATGTGAAAGATAATGTAAATTTGAGATCAAATTATATGATTATCCAATAAATTTGAATAAAAATAAGTCTAAGAATATAATTAGAGTTTTATTAGGTTAATTTAATTTAATTACAGTTCAAATTAAATGATTTAATTAGGTGTAAATTAAATGATTTAAATGATTTAATTATACTTTAAATAAGTTAAATTAATTTTGTTAGGGGTTTAATTGATGAAAAATTAATTTTGGGAGTTTAATTAAGAAAATTACAATTTGAGAGACTAAATTTAATTTTTAACAAGTTAATTGATTAAATTTAGGAGTATAATTATAAGAAAATTAAAGTTTTGGGGTCAATTAAGAGTTGAATTAAAGTATTTGCAACCAAGGATCATTTTGCAAAAAGCTTTGAACAATGGGGACTCAATTTATTGAAATTATGGGTGAAATTGAAGAAAATTACAAGTTTAATAGTTAATTGAGGGTCAAATTGTATAAATTCAAAATTAAGGATTAAAATAAAAAAGAATGTTGAAATTTAGGGTTGACATTGAAGTTTGGCAGGGGCAAAATTATATAAAATTAAAAGTTTACGGTTAATTATGAATGCAATTAAAAGAAATTAAAAGATGGAGGAACAAATTGAATTTTGACTAAATTTCTAAATTAAAACCTCAAATCCCTAAAACAACGTTGTTTTGAAAATAATAATAAAAAAAACCACACAACGCCTTATCTAGTGACTATTCATCTTCTTCATTTTCCTAGAAAAGTTGTTCGAGTGGTCTTCTTACTAAGACATTTGATGTTTCATCTTTCTACTAAATTTAATAAAACTTGCACATAAATGATGATATGACATCTGACTACATGTTAGCATGATTCTTGTTAGCTAATTGACGCCACAATAACTGTGGCGCCATCCCACAATGGCTAACCTGACCAACTCTTCTACAACAACTTTGACAGTTCACGATGATCATTTTGATCCAATTGTTGAGTTCTTTAGGGGTTGACTCAAGGGTCACAATTTGACACCATTAAAGATAAAATGTTCATCTTCCACACCTTATAAATTAGGGTGGATTTCATGGCCTTAAGAAGAAAAAAATCTAGTGCAAAATTAAAAAAAAACTAGCTTCCCCCTAATTTTTTCTTTTATTCACGGTCAATTCTCTCTATTTTTTTCTCTCTCTCCACTGCCTTTTTAACCACCACAACCTCGAAGCCACCATGAACAATTACCACATGACCTCCTCAAATCCATCCCCTTGCTAACAACAGGAACCACAATGCCAACTTATCCTTCTTCCTCTAACTGCCAATACCAACCACCAATTTCTTTGTTAGTGCCACTACTATCCTTATGTTGGCCTTCTAGACCACCATCCATACTTCTTGACGTGAGGTGATTCCCTTCTCCTTTTTGGCTGCAGCCATAATCACAGTATATAAAAAATGAATTCGCTTTACCAAAAAATTCAAGTTTTTTTTTGCTAAAATTAATTTTTTTTGTATGTTTTGCATCGTTTTGTTACGTTGATCTCAAAAATAATTTTTTTTAAAATAAAAAAAAAA